GACCCGTTGTTATCAGGAACCGCACTGCCCCGAAGCGGTAAGACGCGCCAAAAGGACGTGATGCAAGTAGCCAAATGCCTCGTCATCTAATTAGTGACGCGCATGAATGGATTAACGAGATTCCCACTGTCCCTATCTACTATCTAGCGAAACCACTGCCAAGGGAACGGGCTTGGAAAAATTATTACAAGGTCTCTGACTGGCATTACCGTTATTTGTTTTGCAACAAATATTCTTATACATCGATCTCTCAACTGGCATTACCGTTATTTGTTTTTCACCGAATTCTTATACATCGATCTTTTAACCTCGAGGCAAGCGAAACATATTAGATCGGTCATTATCTCTTGAAACATTGTCGAGACAACTTGCGTCCGTTATCTGTGCGCTGTACCGTTTTACGATCAAGTTCAGATCAGTTATTATCTCTCAAAGCAATGTCAAGATAACTTGCGTTTGTTATCTGTCGTTTTGTGCGCTATACCGTTTACGATTTCATTGTAAGTAACTCACAGTGTTCAATTTTATATCGATGTGAACCGTAAATCAGTGTGTCGCTCCGTATGTACGCAGGTATCGTGTAACATATAATAAAGTACCAAATGCAACATGGTCCTCCTGGCCTTCTAACTTGGGAGGGATTCAAGGTTGCTTGCCTATGGAGTAGCGCACACACACCGGAATTACCGCATGGAAAAAGGAACGTGCGACGTGCGAGTATACAATAGCCTAATGACCGCGTTACAAGAGAGTTTCTAATTTACACATTGCGCTGAAGATGACCACAAAAATGGTCGAAACGTTCGCGAATTTTTTTATGTATTGACGATAAGAAATATATATAACTTGCGCCCTATTTACCGCGCCGGCTCTTACTGCCTCTTTCCCTTTAATCGATTTAATCACGAGAACCTTATAATTTTTAATTCTTATAAATATACTTTTACATGATCACACATGATAATATACTAGTATATAAAACCATATATGACTATATAAAGTTATACTTAAAGAGATTTAGCCATATAATATTGTTCAAGATTATATTTCCATTTCTTATATGACCATATATAATTATATATTTACTAATATGAACAAATAAGAGGTATTTTTTCCCGAGAAAATAATCATATATGCTTATATATAGCCATGTATAATTATATACTCTCATATATGGCTATATAATATTGTTTAAGATTATATTTTCCATTTCTTATATGATCATATATAATCATGTATCTACCAATATAAACTAATATAAATAAATAAGAGATTTTTTTCCCAGGTTATGCGGTTTTAGACGTGTGTATGTGGTGCTGGGTAAGGTTTTTTTTGTAATGACTCGCTTTTTATTTTACAGATAAGTTAGAATAAAGAAGTTTTTTTTCTTTTTATAATCGCTCAGCGCAAAGTTGGCCCAATAGGCCTATTTTGTAACGAGCCGGCACTGGTTTCTGACATTCACCGACATTAAGAAAAAATTATATTTGTATATCCGATTCGAAATTTTATTACTCTTTTTAAACTGAATTTGTTTCTTAAGAATTTTTGAAAAGTTATATATTTGCGCTGGTTATGACACATGTAGACTATATATAACACTTACAATCAAATTAAGAAGTAGTCTACCCACGTAATGCCGGGATTACGATGAATTTAACGTAACAGGACGCGACGGGATGCGAAGTAACGTAAAACCTAAACACATTGTTTTTATATGCGTTACGTAAAGTCGATCGTAATCAGCCGCATATAAAAACAATGTGTTTAGGTTTTACGTTACTTCACGTCCCGTTACGTTAAGTTCATCGTAATTCCGGCATAAGACGGTTGGCTCACGATCCATCGAGGTCTCGAGTTCGAATCCCATCAAGGTAAATGTGTTTTTCAATTACGAGAAAATATTTATAATTATAGGGTTGCATCTTAAGAAACAAATTTAGTTAAAAAGTAGTAATAAAATTTCAAAATAAATATAATTGTTTTTTATGTCGGGTGAATTTCCTCATTAGAGAGTGTTTTAATTTTAGTATTTCCTTGTAGTCTACTGTACTCAAATAGATATAGAAATGTGTAGAATATCAGTATTAGTTGTAGTTTGGCGTAGTTTTACCGAAAAATTTATAGATCAAGATGCACTAAAAATATACAAAAATTTACAAAAGTGTTCCAATTCTAGCATTTTCATGTAGGATTTTGTAGTACTTCTTAAATTCATGTAGAATTTAATAGATTCTGGCAATTATATTTTATAGTTTTTTGTAGTACACTTTTATTTTTTTTTTAATTTTGTAGAAATATTTCTGCCAGGGCCGAAAAGGGTAAACAAAATACGCGCACGCGTTGTTACGAGTTCTCAAACTCTCTCCGTATCCGTGTCGCTATTAGCGACTTGCTAGGCGGACTACGCCACGCGCGGATTATTATGTAACATTAACATAGAAAGCAGTAGCGGTTGTGGGCATATGCACCCACTGCAATTATATGTTCTGTCGGCTATCAGTAATAAAATGCACTATTTATGAGGCTATTAGAAAAGTTTATTCAGAATCACTCTTGTACAGGAGACGAGTATGACGCAACTTAACTACAGGTGAAGCTAACGCGTAGACGCACGAGTGTGTGTGTCCGTGTCTAACAAGACAATGTCGGTGTGTCGCGGCAACGGAAGTGCTCGGCTTCCCTGGATCACGAACTCACTAGATGAGTAGTGGGGAAACTCGACGGTGGCTCGACGGTGGCCACATACTCCCCCCCCGAGTGTTAACGAAAGGAGAATAATATTGCACAGTAGTTACGTTGCTTAAATGCTAACTAGAGTATAACAATATAATTGAAACGTTGAGCTTACAACTAATAATGCTATGCTAATGCTAGACTTATAGACTAAAGGGTTGACAATAAAGTACAGGGGAAAACGCTAAAATTACGAATACGAAATGAAAAGAATTATGGCTCTTTATCTAAATTAAATTGTACTCGCTTTTTTTGTGCCGGATACGTTTTAATTTGTTTAGACGGTTGCTCTACTGAAGGAGGACAATTGCTAGGCTGATTGGAAGTAGAAGGAACGTCTGTTGAAAGGGCCAGAATACGGTCGTTCCAGAGATTTTTTAACTGCATCGTGTCGCAGAAAGACATGAGAACACGAGTTCAATTCCTTGAAGAAAAATGCGCGCTTTTTGTAGTGGTGAGTCACTGGAACAGGTTTAACTTGGCGCATGAAATTTCGAAAGTCGTTAATAAAGATTTCAGGGTCTGGAGAAAAGTCTTCCTGAAGAAAAAATTCTCCGGGCACTCGAAGAATGGTGCCATAAACGAATTCAGCTGGAAAAGCTTGCGTATCCAGACGTATATGCGTTCGTAATCCTAGGAGGACGGTTGGAAGGGTGTTGACCCAATTCTCTGTACCATGGCACATTAAAGCTGCTTTTAGTGAGCGGTGCTAGCGCTCAACCATACCATTTGACTGGGGGTGGTAAGTGGTTGTACGAATGCGCTTACAGCCTATTAAAGATAGTAAAGCTGCGAAAAGTTGAGATTCAAATTGAGCTCCTTGATCAGTTGTTAAAATTTTGGGGGCGCCAAAACGAGCGATCCAATGATCGTAAAATGTTTTAGCTATTGTTTGGGCCGTAATATTAGTAATCGGAATTGCTTCAGGCCAGCGAGAGAATCTGTCGATTAAAGTGAGGCAGTATCTATAGCCGTTGATAGTGGTAAAGGACCAATAATGTCTAAGTGAATATGCTCAAAACGTCCATCAGGAGCGATAAAAGAAACAGGAACTTGTTTGACATGACGAGAGACTTTAGACTGTTGACAGTCCAAACAGCTATGTGCCCATTTGGCAACGTCACAATGTAGGTTAGGCCAAATGTATCGTTGACGTATGATACGGTCAGTGACCTTGGCATTGGGGTGGGCAGAATTATGAAATAAGTCAAAAACCTCTTTCCTAAGAGATGCTGGAATGTAAGCACGGATAACTTCTCCTGACAATTCACAGTAGAGCTCTGTATTAGGAGAACCCCAAACAAATTTTTTTAATTTGAGTGACGATGTGTTAGAAGCAAGTAAATGTTTAAGCTCGTCATCTTCTTTTTGCCGAGAGGCAAGATCAACTAACTCAAACTCGGTAGGTAAGCAGAGTGCTTCGATTCGTGACAAACCATCAGCTACCACATTATCGGTACCGGGGAGGTAATCGATGTTGGTGGAAAATTGGGCTATAAAAGATAGTTGTCGCAATTGCCTTGGGGAGGCTTTATCCGAGCGCTGTTTAAACGCGTAAATTAAAGGCTTATGGTCAGTTAGAATCTTAAAGTCGCGACCTTTGAGGAAGTGTTGAAAAAATTTTATAGATTCGTAGATTGCGGTGAGTTCGCGGTCATACGCACTATATTTCTTCTGCGATTCGGTAAATTTTCGAAAGAAAAAAAATAACGGTTTCCAGGTATTCTCGATATTCTGCTCGAGGACTGCTCCCATAGCAAAGTCTGAGGCGTCGGTAACCAAACGAGTTTTTGCGTTGGCGGATGGATGCGCTAGGAAAGCTGCGTTGGCCAGGTCTGATTTAGCTGAACGCTTTTTCGGCATCAGGGGTCCAAATTATTTCGCGTTTATCGTTTTTTCGCGAGTCTTTAAGGTAGACATGAAGCGGAGTTTGAACGCGCGCTGCCTGAGGGAGGCTACGCCTGTAGAAATTTAAGGCGCCTAAAAATCGATGAAGGTCGACAACTGTACGCGGTTTAGGTAAGTTTTGAATGGCGGCAACTCTTTCTGGGGTAGGCTTAATGCCGTCATGGCTAACTATGTGATCTAAAAAAGTTTCTTGTGGGACGCCTAGAATGCATTTAGATGAATTTATAAATAATCCGAATTCTGTAAGTCTCTGGAAAACCGTACGAAGATGTTTCTTATGCTCTTCTGAGGAGGAGGAGGCAATAAGAATATCATCAATATACGCGAAAACGAAATCTAAATCTTTAAGTGCTTGATGAATGTAACGCTGAAACGATTACGCCGCGTTGCGAAGACCAAAAGTCATGTAAACGTATTCAAACAACCCGAATGGGGTAATGACGGCCGTTTTAGGTACATCTTCTTTAGCCACCGGTATCTGGTGGTATGCTTTAAAAAAATCTAAAACCGAAAAAATGGTTTTTCCTGCAAGATTGGCAGAAAAATCATGGAGATGAGGAACGGGATATTTATCTGGAACGGTTATCGCATTTACCCGGCGGTAATCACCGCATACTCGCCACTCACCGTTCTTTTTGCGAACGAGGTGAATAGGGCTAGACCAAGGGCTACTAGAAGGTCTGCAAATGCCTAACTCCACAAAACGTTTAAATTCCGCTTTAGCTGCCGCCAATTTATCCGGCGGCAAACGTCGAGGACGTTCTGTGACTGGCAGACCGGAAGTTAGAATGTGATGTTCAACATCACGTGTTCCAAATGGAATTAGCTGACTAACTCCCGTTATCTCCGGAAATTCTAAAAGAATATTTGCGAAATTAGCTTCGCGATTTACCGTTGATATCTTATTTTCGCGAACGACTCGAATTTCACCCGCAGTGAAGAGCTTAGTGCACGTATCGATAAGTCGACGCTTGTGTAAGTCAACCAGAAGTTGATAATGTTTTAGACAATCCGCACCTAAGATTGCATTAGAGACTGCTGCTACGCGAAAATTCCAAACTATAGGTCGCCGAAGACCGAAATCTAAAGCAAGGCGACGTTCACCATAGGTGTCAATATTAGTATTATTAGCCGCAAATAATTTAAGTTCAGACGGCGTTTTTTTATCGCGCAGCGTTGCGGGGAGAATTGAAATTTCCGCGCCAGTATCGATAAGAAATTGTTGACCTGTAATGCGGTCGAAAACGTGAAGACGGCTTTGAGTCGCCCCGTTATCCCCGACCGTCTCGTTGCGAGGAGGGGATTTTAGTTTTCCAACTGCTTAGGCTCTTGCCAAGAACATGGCTTGCGACAGGATGTCGCCTTGGTTTTGTATTTACGGTGGATATAACAAAGGTCGGATTTTTCTGCGCTTTGCGATTGCGCGGGAGAACGACCTCTAGACTTAGATCGGTTACGTCGCGATTTAAACACCTCTTTATTAAGGGCCGCGAATTGCTTAGTAAGTTGGTTTAATTTTTTATCGATACTAGATGAGGGTGCAACATTTTTCGCTTGGTTTACCGTAACGACGAACGGTACTACCGATGTATTCGGGTTATTAGTCTCGGAAATCCTATCCGCTATTTTGGCCAGCTTATGCAAATCTTGCTCGTTAATCGCGGCTAAAATGGCTTTATGAGAGACAGGAAGTTGCTCGATAAACAAAGATCTGAGCACCGCTGGGCTGCACTGACCGTTATTAAGATTATTCATATGATTAAGAAGGTGTGAAGGTTTTTGATCGCCTAACATCTGACCTTTTAACAGGCTTTGCAAGCGAGATTTGGAAAGCGAAGTCGCGTAAACGGATAAAATACGCTCTTTGAGACGCTCGAATAGATTATCAGGCGGCGGATCCGCTTTAAGTAAATCAGAGATATGTGCGACTACTTCGGTGTTTACGCTCGTTAACAAATAGTCGGCTTTGGTTCGATCGACAGTAATTCCCGCCACGCGCAATGACGCTTCAACTTGCAAAAACCACGCTTCCGGCTCGCTTTTCCAAAATGGCGGAATTTTAGGAACGCGGTATAATTCCACACGCGCCGGTTCTGACATGATTACAGAGGAGTAAAGCGCAATAGGGAGCGTTACAATGGTACGCGCAAGGTTACGACGTCGCAAACGCACGCTAAATAAGCACAAAATTTATGCGGCGACACCATGCGCTTATTCGTGGGGGAAAGCTTACACGAGACACGAGATCGCATGCACTGATAACACAAGTAATTGAAAGGACAACGTTACAGAACGAAGGTCTCGACGACTACGACAAACTGCGATGAGCCGTTGCACAGGATGCAGAAGTTCAACCGTCAGGAACAGCCTCGCCAAGGAAGAAAATCGGTTGTACGGGCTGCCCGATGAGGCACTAACGTTGAACGGATCTCGACTAATAGCGTGTCGTGCGTAATGGCGCGCTGTTGTTGCTAGGGGCTTGAATGCCGGCGAGAAAAAACTTGCGCTTGCACTTAATCTGCGTCGATCTCCTTTTCGGGGTACGAGCTGTATACAGGTTAAATCTGCAACAGAGAAAAATGCCGTCGGGGTCACCAATTGTGGGCATATGCACCCACTGCAATTATATGTTCTGTCGGCTATCAGTAATAAAATGCACTATTTATGAGGCTATTAGAAAAGTTTATTCAGAATCACTCTTGTACAGGAGACGAGTATGACGCAACTTAACTACAGGTAAAGCTAACGCGTAGACGCACGAGTGTGTGTGTCCGTGTCTAACAAGACAATGTCGGTGTGTCGCGGCAACGGAAGTGCTCGGCTTCCCTGGATCACGAACTCACTAGATGAGTAGTGGGGAAACTCGACGGTGGCTCGACGGTGGCCACACGGTAGCTACCACTAACGCCATCTGCTGTAGTTCAATAGAACTATAATTCTCACTAGCAACTACCGCGTCGACGAATATATAATCTCCCTAGTTTCTTCTTTACTTTTTAACAGCAGTAATTATAGTAATTATTTTATACAAATGTATTATATACATATATGTATTATATACATATGTAACATATTATAATTGTAACAATATAAAAAATATAAATTGCTATAATTACATTTTAAGCAAAGTCAGTGTTAAATCATTTTATTACAAATGTACCTTTGCGATTTGACAAAGGCCACTGGCGGGTTCGGAATGTCCAATATTTGATTTTACCGAGCCCATCAATAAAGGACTGTTTCTTTTAGCGCATAAAGTCTGGTCAATAGACATAACTTCTACGGGATCACCAGCAAGAGTACCAGTTGCATGAGCTTCTATGTAAGATAACTCATTGGGCGAGATTTCACATTCCTTATAAAATTCATTCAACAATATTTTTTGCTTCTCGACCGATGGAAAGGTAATACCTTCTTCTTTAAAACCATCGCAATTTACTTTACCGTGTACGAGGGTTGCATATATTCTTCTTGCATTTTTTGCCTTTTGCAGATATACTACCGCGACCGTATCGCTACGCATATATCCATTGCCTTCGTCGTCAAAGGGTTTACAATAACCGTTAGCAGACAGCACCCCTAGAAAGAAATTAATTCATGTTATTAAATAAAGTTTTTCAAGTTTTGATTCAATATTTAAGTGCAAGGATAGAAAAAAATCAAAGGCTTATTGAACATTATAGACAAAGAGTGCGATTGTTTCACAGAGCACGTTATTGGATAAACAAAAAAAAAACGTAAAATAATAACATAATCTTAATATAATTTACAACAAGAGTTTGTTAATTTCACAGGAGACAGTACAAAAAGAAATATCTGTGTTAATGTATCCGAACGCGAAGTAATTGTTCTAGACTGTTCGAGAATATCTATATAATAGAATTACAATCGCATATATGCTTGTCATACAATTTGATTTGGTCTACCAGTTAAATATCTTTTTATTTTGGTAATATTTTGTGTTTTGTTTAATTTTCTTTGTTTAAACTTCTTGCTTCATTAGTATATATATAATTGTTCACATCTTCAAAAATTTTTTATAGAAATGCTTTCAGGAATATTACATGCTCTTCTTAAGGAACTTGTGGGAGTAGTAGTGAAGTGCTTTACGGTTATATTGTTCAAAAATAGATTGTTATTCAAAAATATGTATGGTGCAGAACCCGAAATGTGCTCGATAAACAAAAAAATGTTGTAATTTTTTATTGCAATAAAAAATATATACCGAGGTCACACATGAGTGGTCACCACCCCTATAATAATTTTCAAATGTTTGCCAAACATAACTGACATAATTAAAGTAAAATAATTTAAATCGACCGTGACTGGCAATA